GAGTAACTGCAAAACGCGTTTTACTTACTTAAATCACTCTCCTCTTTCCCTTCTCCTTGTCTTTCTCTCTAATCGCTTTATAAACTTGTCTCACAGTTTCCGGATCTAGGGTTTCTCACACTCTTCGTGATCTCCTTCCTTCTTCTTCCTTCTCCAAATCACATCGCTTCGAAGGAGATCAGAAAAAAATCCAAAAAAAAGCAATAACAATGAGTCAGTACAATCAACCTCCCGTCGGTGTTCCTCCTCCTCAAGGTTCTAATTTCGAATCCGTAGATCTGAATTATTTCGTTTGTTTGTTGAATTTTGGTTTTTGTGTAATGTATCTGAAAATTTGTTTTGTTATGATGGGAAAAAAATTAGGTTATCCACCGGAGGGATATCCAAAGGATGCTTATCCACCGCAAGGTTATCCACCTCAGGGATATCCTCCTCAGGGATATCCACCGCAGGGTTATCCTCAACAAGGTTATCCTCCTCCTTACGCGCCGCAATATCCTCCTCCGCCTCAGCATCAGCAACAACAGAGCAGTCCTGGGTTTCTAGAAGGATGGTAAGTCGAAAATTACTCGAGTTTTTGTATTGGATATGGGTGGAGTCTGAATTTGACTGTTTTCTGTGTATTTGGAATATTCAATTACAGATTCTTTGGATAAAGTCATGTGGTAATGTTTAGAATATTCTTATTGTTGAGCTTGACTTTTGTGTGTGCTTAGGAGTGACTGTGTTTTGGTTCTGTACACTCTTTGATAATCTGATTGTTTGTGTAATGTGAATTACTGGATAATTGGGTTTTGTTATGTAAATGGCCTTGCTAAAGAGTGTGAAATTGCATCTACATTGCATCTTTCTGGTTTTAACATGTTTGCATGTAGTGAATTTGCATCTACATTGAATTACTGGTTACTACATTGCATGTCTAAAGCAATTGGATTTGTAATTGTAATTGTGTTCCTGGTTTGCATGTCTTTGTACAAGTTTTGGTTACTTTTGTTGTATCAGCTAAACCTGATTTTGAATGTTTTTTTTACTTGTTTTGCAGTCTTGCTGCTCTTTGCTGTTGCTGCCTCTTGGATGCTTGCTTCTGATTTGGAGTCTCTGGTTGAAGCTACTGGTTTGCTGCAAGAGCGGGTTTTTAGTAAAAACAAGAAACCTTAAATTCATTTGTGGGCATTAAAAATGGATCATTGATGATCTAATGATTGTTCTCTTTTCGTTCGTTTATGTTTTATGTTCTTCGGTTCATAAATAAACTACTGTCTTTTCGACGTTGTGGCTCGGTTTGGATTTGACTATGGGAATGTAAATTGGTGGGGAGACACTGTTCTTTCTATGCCTCAGTCTTTTGCTTTCTCTCTATGTGTGTGTTAGCAATTCATATGAGAATAACTCAATGATTTACTTCGATTATATCATTGATTCTTCGATCATAGATAATTTATTATTTCAATAAAAAATAGAAACATTTGGACTGAACTTGTACAAACAAATCCACATGGTCACATGGGTTGGTTCCATTATTGTTGTTAGGTAAGGTTTTAATCGGGGATTATGAAAAGTGGGGTTGGAGATGCTATAACATAGATCGATTTATGTTGTTGGGAAGGAAAAAAATAAAGTATAGAATTCATTACCAATATTGTGTCAAAATCAAGCTTATGTTCATTCTATTACAAATAT